ATTCGAACCCGGGCCGCTGCAGCAACTCCATATATGGGTAAACTGCATACGTGCCATGCGAGAATTGAAAGCTTGAGGCGTAGCAGCCGCAACTAAGGAGGCAGGGTTTAGCAAACAGTTACAACAAATTTCTGTTTCAGTTTGTTTTGTACAACTACTGTCCAAAAAATTAAAACATTTTTGTTCAGCATTGTGCCTGCTGATTTAATCAAATCTGATCCATTACCCGCCCTGTCCAAACAGTTCGGACGGGCCACCAATGGATTGGCATAGATTGGCAAGTACACAGAGAGCACAGAAGAGTCACAGCAGACCAATTAACCTTTCACTGATCCCACTTATCAGAAAGAGACACTTCAGGCATTACGAGAGACAGCACAAGTGAGTGAAAATGAAGGACTGTGTATATAATCTACACAAACTCACACACGCGCACATACACACACGCACACACACACGAACACACACACACACACACACACACACACACACACACACACACACACACACACACACACACACACACACACACACACACACTGTTAGATGTCCTAACCTTTGTACTCTCTGCTGTCTCTTGTGTCATACTTCTCACCCATGGGCTTTAACTTTCACATGCCATTATTTTTTTTCTTTTCTTTTCTTCTGGGAATCTGTTTATTAGTTACATATTACTCTTTTATTAAATTGTCCTTTCCTCAGATGTCAAGTATAGATCAAGGAAGAAACACCACAAGACACAAACTGAATTTTGAAATCTTTATATATTGACTATCTCTGTAAAGGAGAATATTCATGTGAATTAGTTTAAGATAAAGCTTAACATTCTTTTTCTTTTCTGATATTCTGGTCTTTTCACTTTTACAAAAAAAAATTTGGACATCAAATAAAATAAAATACAGAAAGGCAAGCAATAATGAATTTCATAAATCATTCATAGAGTGATTTAATAGGCTAAAGTGTATAAAAGCAGTACCCTGTATCACTATAAGAGTGACAAAAAGGGCCACTACATCACTTGTTTAATAGTCTTTCAATATACTGTCAAAGGAGTTCCAAATTAATACTGACTTACCTCCATTGACTCATTAGATCTATCATCCATCTGCTTTACCTTCAGCCTGCTGAAAAGTGAGAGTTAATCATGTTGGCTCCCTCGTTCCCCTCTGTAAACCACCGTATATGGCAATGGGTCTAATACAGGTAATTATGTAGGAATGAGAGGCTCAATTGCTTCCTGGATGAAGATTGGCATCTTGATGGATGCAGGGATGGACATGCAGAGAGGGGGTGAGGTGCTTGGCTGTATGGTGGAGGGTGAGGCAGAGCAGTCACGACAAAGAGGGGCGACAAACACATTTACACACACAGACACCTACACACAAGTCAGTGCTCTTAGAGGTCCTTCTGGTCTAATAGAGATGTATAATGCTGTATAGTGCTAACTGCCAGGATAATTCATTTGTTTGCACTTAGAGGGCAAATAGGTGTTTTTATTCAGCCGGCTGCCTCAGGCCATGCATGCGCCAATGAGCACCTCTGCTTGGCACAGCAAATCAATCTACTGTATGAAATCCTGCAACACACAAAACAGGCCAAAATAAGCAGAAAGCAGGGAGTTGGTTTCAATTTGGTATTGTTACTAGATTATTGTAAGAAAGGCCAACTTACCGAATAGTAATTTTCACCATGAAAGTACAATATCAGCTAATCAGATTGCTGCATTATTTGCTGATTTTGTGGACATGTCTTGTAGAGGAACCTTATGTGTGTCAAACATTGGTTTTAGAAGCCTTATTACCACATGGTGTATATTTCATATGTTGTGTTTTAATCAAATTACAACAAACTAAGCACTGGAAACTTTGAGACAACAGTACATACATATCGCATGCATCACTGTAGGTGGGGTGTCAAAAAGGACCCAACAGCAATTTTATTTTTAACCTGGCCATTATCTTTAGGCAAACCCGGGCTTTTATCTGTACCTGAGAGTCATGTTGTGTGTAGAAAGGAGAGGCCCTATCTGTACTCATTGAAAAGGCATCTAATGTAGGGGTACCACCTATAAGAGAGCTATGTGGAATGTAAATGTTAAAGGTTGACCCTAACTTAACAGGGGAGCCTTGTTATTCATGCAGAACAAATGAAAACTCCTCATGGGTTTGCGGCAAGATTAAAGGCACAGAATCTACCTCAATTTATCATGCTGTCTCACCAGCTCACTCCATATGTGTGTGTGCTTGTGTATTCAAGTAAAGTCCTGAATCAAAGATCCTGGAACCACTCAATACGCAAATAACTGATTACCTCTGTGCTGTCCCTAGGGACAGTGTACCTAAGAAACTCAAAATTGAGCGTCTTCAATCCGAGTCTCTCTATTCTGTGTTCTACAAGACGAAATAAATAGCCTCTTGTGCTGGAGGCCAATACAAAGCAGGTAAAATTCCGGGTGCATAAATTCAGTAGAAAAGTTGGACTATAATGTAGAAGACCTTGCCTTGAACCAGTCTTATTTTTAAAGGAGAGGCTCTGCTGCTGCCGTCACTGCAACTTTTCTGATAACCACTTAATGATATATTGACCACCTGATGTGTTTCCTCCAGGTTAACTTGCTACTGTAGAATGAGTTTTCTCTCCTCTCACACTGAGCTCATCTCAGATGTACACAGTCTGAGCTTTCGGATGGCTCTTTCCTCCAACGGAAATTCATTTCATTTTTTTCCCCTCCTGTCTTGACCCGATTGAGTCTTCTTTATAGGATTTTCTGTTTGAACCTTTGTTATGTCTGCAACAGTAGCAGAAACTCATATTCACTGTATCTTTTCATCTCTTACAATTGATTTGTTTTTATTTTGTAACATCCCTAACAGTCATAATTCCTCCCAAAAGTGTTTTACATTCGCACCTGACTTATCTTTGATTATTCTCTCATTATTAATTTTTAATGTGATACATACAGAAATTGTAAGTACATAAACTATTCCTAAAGCTGCATGCAAGAGGTACATTGAGATGTGAATTGTTTATGTGCAAACATACCTTAAAAAAACATCACAAAACATAAGCACAATTATTCTATGTTGTAAATAAAAAAACAAGAAGAAAGGCTGCAGGAAATTATTTGCAAGGGAACTTAATAGTGGTAAACTTTAACTTAACCTTAACCAAAGGTCATCAAAATAACTGTAGCAACCGAGGAGTGGACATAATTAACCAGAGAAATATGGAGGGTTTAGGACAAGTTCACCTACACAGACACATAGTGGAAAATAGGGCTGTGTGTTGGCGATACGATACATGCCATGATACAGAGGTTACGATTCAATATATTGTGATATAATGCATTACTGCAAGCTAGGCAATATATTGTGATATCATTTAAAAAATCTAATTTTAGGAAAAGGGTCATAGTATAAAGAACACACCAACCTGTAACCAGAACAGTGGAGTCTGAATTTGTATCACAGGGGCTGTAACATCCAATATTATGGCCCTCAGTTTATGTTTACAACACAAAATAAAATATGATGTGATGATGATGACTTTTTAAAAATATTTTCCTACAACCCCAGTGGAAAAAAAGAAACAATTAACTATATAATGCAAATAAAACTTGTTAGAAATATATATTGAAATAAAGATGGTATTTACACGCTTTTCGTATTTACTATAAAAATATTAAATGACATGCCACCATGACAGCAAAAATGTTAAAATATGCTCACTCAAACAATTAAAAAAGTGGTGTTGTAAATTTGTTCTCTATGAAAACATTTAATTATTTTAAGTGTTAGCGCTAATTGTGACTATGCTAACAACTAAAACCACTGACACCACTTTGTGTTGGCCAGCAGTATCAGACTATTAAAAAATTATTTTATAATGCATATGGTATGACAAGTGATAAAATCATCAAATACTTAAGACAGCATTAATTAAAAAAAATATAGCCACGTGGGGGCAGGAACCCATGAATATCTTAATAATATATATGAAAGGCCCATGGTCAACCTACAGTACACAGGTGTTTTCACTTATTTCCTTGATTAGAGCTGTCTGAGGACTTTGCTGGCTGTAGAGACTGTGCTTGACTGTCAATCGGACATTCAGATTAGCTTTGTGTCACCTGTTAAGGAGGTCCTGGGGAACGTGGGAGAGGTCACACCTTCATCGTCTAATCAGTCAGAGTAAGTGGAAACACGTCTGTGGGTCTGCAGGGCCTTAAAGTATTTACTGTATGGCTAAACTGTTAGATAAAAGCCGGCTATTTACACATTAAGCAGACACAGAGCAACGTTAGCATTAATATATATATTTTCCCTCTCGCTTTGTTTATGTATCAAGTCTTGAGATATATATCAGGGTCTTTAGCTGCTACTCTGCTAGTCAGCTAGTCGCTATCTTTCTCAGTTGATGCCGGGGATTATTTTTATCACAGCTTTTTTTGTTGAGAACAGCTGAAAACGATGCTGCTTTGAACCAAAATAGTACATTTGTGGGACGTAGAACCAAAACATGGAGCTGTAAGATGGCAAAAGACTTGGTAGAGGTGAGGGAAACTGCTGGTTTGCTAAGTCAAGCAAACCCTTTCAAATATGACCCATTGTTCAAATATTATATACACTCATCTGGAAAATCCAACATTCTTAAAGGAATCCAGAAATGAATCTTCCCTATTTAGCATCTGCCCTGTGGCTTTATCCCTTGTAGACAATAATATGCACTTAGTTGCCAGTTTATTAGATACACCTAAAACCAATGCAGTCTACTACAGTCCTCCAATAAATCCAACATTCATGAAAGGTATTATGTTCAGTTTTTGTTGAAACTGTTTTAGAGAGGTGTTTAATCAACTTTACGATTATTTCGAGGACATACTTTGTGCTGCTGTTAACACAGAGAGGTGTTTCTGGTTTTTAGCCATTGAAAAATGGGTGTGAATAAATAAAAAAGTGTATTTTCCACAGAAGTTAATGATGCCCTAGAGATCTCAAGAGAAGAGAGTGACAGTTGTGCTTTAATTAACTTATTTCCTAAAACAAGGTCAACAGTCTTTTTCACAAAAGGTTTCTTGATTAACAAATGGTCAAATATTTTTTTTTTTTACCTGACAGTAGTAGCTAGATTAAAGGCCATTAGGAATAATTCTCCATGCCGTTCAACATAATGTATCACATGAGGCAGCTGGGTGTCTTTTAAATTGTAATGGGCTTTTCATAACTAGAAGAACCTTTGACCTTGAGCAGATAAGGCAAAATGGTGCTTAAACAGGCATACATGGGTTGTTATAGCCTTTTATGGCCATATCAAATAAAACATTTAATTACACTCTTGGACACGTTTTCAAACCAAACATTGCACACCTTGAAGGTAATAACTGTATTGTGCATGCACCATCTACTGGCCCTACTGTTTACACTACTAATATGTGTATACCCATTTTCATTTTCCATCTTCTGTTAAATCCCTGTTAGGACAGTTTATGTCATTTCCTTATTCTGTTTCTGATCTGGTCCTTCTTTCCTTTGCATTCAGGTGTCCGATGATTCATCCGACTCGCCAGAGCCGGGGCCAGTCACTTGCATGGAGCCCTTCATGGTGCGGAGGCTGTCTTGCCGGACGGTCCAGTTGCCCCCTTTGGCCTTCAGGCAGGCAGAACAGTACTACTGTGACCGCAAACCGGAGTCAGACACAGTCACAGTTCCACCACGGCCCACAACACTGCCACTACGCACCCCACCACTCATCGCCATCACCTCCGCTGACACTAGCAGGTAGGACGATGTGGAAGTGTGCGTGTGTCTTTTCACTAACAAAATGTCTTTTAGTGGAATGGATAATTCAAGAAGGTGGTGAGTAGAGCGGAGTGGTTTGGTGGATCAATACCTGCAACTGTTTGAAGTGACTGAAGACATATCACTTGCTTATTACCTAAACTGTTGAAATGTGTATTTTAAACATTTATTGGCGGTTGTGAAATGTTTTAATTCATCAGCTACAAATTGTATGTAGTTTACATGCTTGAAATATCCTTGTAGCTGAATTCTTTAATAATGGAAACATTTTCGTGGAGTGAAGGGAGCGTGAGTGGTTTGATGCAGTTACTCAGTCCGCCATGGTTTTTGGTTTGAAAAAAAGTCTTAATTAACCCAGAATTTGTGGTAAATGAGTCCTACTCAAACATCCCCTCGAGACATGTATTAAGACATAAAAGTAGTCTGCTTGGAACAATAATATGTGGTTGATTTCTTTCTGCAAAAAAAGTATAATTTCCACATTAAAATCTTTAAAAAGGCCACCTTCTCCTTCTACCCTTCTACTTCCTCTTTCTTATTCAACAATCTATGATTTTGCTAATTTAGTCAATTTCTTCATTTTCCTGCTGGACACACTAGTGGCTTCAAGTTTCTATATCACACTGGACTAGAATGGACTTCCGAACTACTTCAAAAAGGAGAGGCTTAATTTTTGAATTTAAGTGCTATCTGCACGATGAAGATGATAAATGTGAAAAGTCTTTGGTGATTTGACCCCATCATGACATCATCATATTTGAAGGGGTTGGTGAAACCGTGATTAGTATGGGAAAGCCCCTGATGAAGTCTAGACACTGGTGGTTGTGGTGGTGATGAAGGAATAAAGAGAATGCTGGAGATCTGGATGTGATGAAGAGTGGAGTGGAGTAGCAGCTGGAAGCAGCTGAGGATGAGAGGAGAAAGGATTTAAAGTCTGACAGCAGTAACATGATTGGCTGGAGGAGGTTGTGGCTGAGTCTGATTGTTTTAACTGAAGAGTAAACGCCCATTACCATCTGATTAGAAAGGAGAGTTGTGAATGAATAGGGGATTAAGTAGAAGGTCTTCCTGATTGAACTTATGCTGAGCTTTATTTGTGGTGTCACAAGTCATGTTTGTAGGCCCTGCCCCTAAAATAACACAGAGGTTTATTACTTTAAGCAGATGAATGTGAGAACATCTTTCTAGTGTCAAACGCTGCACATACTTCATTCTGCAGCTCAAATATCAAACTGTAGGATAAAGAAGAAAACTGATTTGGTGGACTTTACTTCACTTTAAGTGAGTAAGTACTAGACAGCTTTGTGCAATGGATGAATTTAAAAGTCTATATGAAGTTTGACTACTACTTTTATTTATCTATCTTTATGGCCCCATATGTTGTCAGAAATGAAGCCCAGAAGACAAACAATGTGTCCACTCCAATGGCTCGCATTAAAATATGGGGCAGCTATAGCTCAGGTGGTAGAGAGGGCTGTACATGAATCCTAATAATGTTAGTTCACTGTGTTTGTAAAATCAAATAAATGTAATGTAATGTAAGAAAGGTTGTTAATCAACAGTCAACTCTCATTTTGCAGATGTCTGAGTCTACATAACATAATAAAGACAGCTTTCAAATCAGTCTCTCTTTTCAATAGCCACATGATCATACCTTCACTTAAAAAACTAAAATGAAAACTGAAAATACACATACAGAACTACAGAATGTTCATTGTGATGGAATTACTATCCTATGGTACTTTCAAGTCCCTGCAAATAGAGTCTCTAGATTGAAATTACCAGGAAACCAACGGCTGTCTGAAAGGTAGGAAATCAATTACGTTGTGATTTGGAAAATGTTTGGCAGTAATACAAAATGTGCTTGAATAACATACAAACCACTGGTATTTAAATTATCCCAGACTCGCTACATCCTCCAAGGAGTGTGACTCATCAAATAACTAGGCCTAACAGATTTATGTTTGTCACCATTGTCACTTACTAATATAAACACAGGGAATGTAATTCACAATTTAAAACATGATAAACAAGATAAAAGCAACCTCTCACAGAAAATTACAGTAAAGATCTCTCCCTTTCTGTTGTGGATTTGATTAATCCACAGCACAGTAGTCTTGTACACGTCAGTTATTTATTTTTAACTATAATTATCCGCTTCAGAGTGACAATTTTTGTAACAAAATCGTACAGGCTGTTGCTCTCACGTCTCGCTTTTAGAGGTTATGAAAATACACATTTAGTTTTCTCAGTTGTACGACACAGCATGTATAAGAAATGTTCAGCAGTATTACTTTTAGTGTGCGCTCAGTCTCTCACGCTTGGAAAACATAACCATACAACAACTGAGAGAAGAATCACACCCTATCCGGAGAATGCTGGTGATTGTATCAGAGTGGTTTGGATGAAATGAGGTTTGGCAGAGACAGACCAAAGCCTCCAACCAGCTTGATTCTCAGAGGGCAGACAGAAAACAAACACACCAAACAGCATTCTGTATTAAACGCAGTTGTTCAGTGAGACCTCATAATGTAACTTGGCAAATGGTCCAGAAATATATCCAGACAGCTGGAAGTAGCATATAAATTCAGTGGTCACACCTATCTGTCAGTGGAAAAATCCCATTTTCCTGGGTTAGTATTTTACATGGAAACAGATGAGAGTTAACTTGTCAATCAAAGAGAAAGCGCTGCTCCTTTGACTTGTCTTTGATCGTGATGGCATGCTTCAAAAGGCTCTGTATCTCATCAGTATTGTGCTACCTGTATAACACAGTTCAATGGCTCATCATGTGCCAAAGAAAATGCATCAACTTACTATTTTTCCCCCCTTTACTTGTTCCTGTCTTGTCCTTCTCTCTCTCTCTCTTTGGCAAGTATGACAGGACCTGCAGTGTCTCACAGAGCGAATAAACAACAGAGAAATGAGTAGTGATGTACAGCTTATTAACAAGGCCTGAGCTTGTTAAAACAGCTCATGTTATTAGTAGACTTGGAAGACAGACTTTAAACAAGAAGAAAGTGTTATTGACTTGTAGACTTCTTTATAGGGGGAAAAAAAAAGCTGGTGTCTCTAAATTACATTTTCAAGGAGGCAGGGCAATTGTCATGGCAGCTCTGATGTACAACAGTGCTGAAACTGTTTCCTCTGCTTCAGAATTGCTGTTTAAATATCCAGAACTTGTTGAGTCCAGGAAATAGAGTATTGTATAGTCTGTAGCCTGATGCTTCTCAGATCTACATTGTTCATAACACTGTCTATTGTCTACAGACAGAAACTGCTACCCCTAATGAACATAATCAATACTGAATAATTCACTTGAAGTCATTGTGATATGCCAAACACCAAAAAGTGTCAGGTATTAGGTGTAGAAGCAGCCCATCCTCCCTAAATAATTGCCACTAAACTTTTATCCGAACTTCAGAAAAGGGCATACTTTTCCCAAGTGTGCATGACTGACCACTCACATTGGCTGGATAAGGTCTGGGTAATTTGAAAGGTGGTTGTGTGATTGTTTGAAGGGAGACAAAGGCAGGACAGGCCAGTCACCGTCTCCTTTGCATTATGTCATTGCCTTTTCTTGTCTTATCTTTTTCTTGGAGAACTTCAAAAGCTCAAAAGTTTGTCATCTTAGTTTTCAAAACTATTGCCTGCAGAACCTTAAAAAGAAAAAACACAATGTGATGTGAAATCAAAGTGTTTTGTTTTGTAATGTAGTATAATGCTCGGAAACAATGTTGGGTTTGAATTGTTTTGAATTTATCGTAATTCAGAACATTCTGACTGCAAAGAACTCCTACCTATTATAGCATCAGTCATGTTCTATCATTTTGACACCACATCAGGCCAATCTGATTGCTTTCATAAAAGAACATACGAAGTAAGAAAATGGACTGTAGGGAGAAAAATGGGTGATAGGAAGAATTTTAACAAAGGCCATACATCTTAACTTTGCTTCAAGCTTGGTTCATCTATAATTCAGCACAGCGGTGAGGAAGAAATATACAGTTGTGAAACATTAAGGATGAAAGACATGTGGCACTAAATGCTCCAACTGGAACTTTTGAGTGACTTTAGTGTCATTAACTTTGTATGCGGCTAAATGAGAGTACTGCAGTACTAATGTCAAGAAGTAGCACGAAGCAATCCACTACCCTTTTTATTAGATACTCTCATAATGTAAATACAGAACAAAGATTCTGTCCATTAAACAGGACCAGTGCTATCGTCTTTGCCTCACCTCAGTGACTAGCAACCACTTAGTATCTACCTACAGTATCACAGCTTTTGTTTAATCTCTAGCAACATTTTTATACATAATTTATAGCCCTCAGTGCTGATTGTGCTGGTAGATTCAAGTTCTAAGAGTGCCTGATTTGCTGGTACTATAAATAATGTAACAGTGGTACATAGTGGATGAAGTTTTGTTTACAAACATTTATACATACACACACATTAATAATATTTAATTGTATTGCAGACGAGGCTCGCAGATGAGCACAACTCATTACAATGCATCAACAAATGGACTGACTAAAACACTAAACAACAGATGTCCATTATGTTATTAATATGTGAAAAAGTGTTAAGATATACATTTATACTGACAAAGGCTGTTCCAATATCAATATTATTATTGGATATTGGCTCAAAACACGCTATCAGTGCATTGATTTCACACAACACTAAAGGTCATCCCAAGAGTCGCATACATTATGTCAGAGATCAATTGGAAGTTAACTGTTTTTCTTTCTTCTTTTTCTCTCCTATTTATCTCTAGAAACACATAAGTGCAAATTATAGATACAGACACAATTCCACTTTCTCTCCGCAGAGACCACTTCCAACACCCAAATCAGTTTATTGGTAGAAACTTATATTGACCCGCTACCAGTGCTGTTTTTTCTTTTTAATTAATAATCTGTACAGCTCACCATGTGGAACTGACTGGGGTTATTCTTCTATGTATAAGATAAGATGAGGCTGCAACTAGACACTACTTCTTAACTATAAGTATAAACATACACAAAAAATATTCTGGAAAGCTTATAAAATTGTGTTCTGACTAAGAAACTACTTTTTGAATTGATTGAAAAAGTTAATGCTGGTTCTGATAGAAAGTTGTCAGAGCCCACAGTGCATCACAGTTAGTTGCATATGGGGCTGCGTAGAACAGTCAGGGTGCCCAGGTGGTCATAACGGTATGGCTGATCGGTGTATATCAAAACATATTAATGATTTATTATGTTCATCATGCTGACTGAGAGGTTTGAAGAACTCATCTCATATTTACTACGAGCAGATTTATATTTCAATAGATATGTTTGATGTTTATAACGGTATTAAGTCCAGTGACAAAGATAAATGCAAGGTGTGCTAATTTAAAAAGTTACCCATCCGGTATCTGTTTCGTGAAGGTGACTGCATGCTGGGATACAGTCTTCTCCATCACATAGTGCCGGAGCGAGCAACGGAAAACAAATTACATGAATATAAAAATGAAGTTTGAGGTCAGTTCTCAGTATGAGCTGTGTCAGTGTATCCTGCGGCGGAAGTATTGTCAACTTCAGGTGAAGGTGGACCAACACAAAGTCCACACATGAGCTGCTCATGTGTGCATGCATGTGCTCCTGTTATCTTTGCTCTGTGTGTTGTTGCGCCACTATTACAGTTACCTACCACTTCTATTTTCAGTCACCTTGTTTTGGCCATTACATTTCTGCTGTTAAAGCAGGAGAGACTGCATTCCCCACATTGTTTCCCGAGTAATGGGCTCGAGCTGCAAGGTAGGTGTGTAGGGAGAGGATGGAAGCCTTCCATGAAAGTCCCCTTTCCCTGGAACTGATGATAAACAGAACAGAAAAGGAGAGACTTCACAAGGTGGCTGAATGTTTGCACTCCTCTCTATCCCATGGACATCACAGGCACATGTACACATCCTGTAATAACCCACAGTTTGATTAATAACCGTGAAGGTGAGCTTGTTTTACCTGCAGTGTGTTTAATGCCTGCTGTTACAAAGAAGTACCTAATTTGGTCAATTCTACCCAGTGTATGTCCACTTCTACAACACTAAAAAAACTGATCTTTTTGTGAGAAACCTCTCTCTGGACTATTGGATCATAAAACGCTGTTGTTATATGATTTAACCACCTGGCTCTCTGCCCACTCCCACCTCCTGCTTTTCACTCATGGAGGCTTTCAGGGGAGGTGCTTTGGGTGGGTCCCTCATGTTTAATGGATTATCCTGTTCCCTATATCCCGTCGCCGCTTGTTCCTGCAGGGGACTTGAGAAGGGAAAGATAGAGTTGTCATGTCTGGATGGTTTTACGCATACAGTGCGTCTAGTGAACTACAGCCGCGTGGGGTTAAAGAAGTTTGCATGATATTGACTATCCGCCCGCGTGGACTGTCCTGTATTGAACATCTCGCACTGCAGCACCAAGACAAGCACCTTGCTGAAATGGGCGTGTGCGGAGAAAGCGGGGAGCACTTGGAAATCAGACTCTATTGAGTTTCTCCTCACCTGACTCAGGGACAGTTTCCCCTTTCCAAACCGCAGTTAGGGAGGTTTACCTCGGGATGCGTAAATGGATTAATTTTTGATTCTGCCCAATGTGTTTCTGCAGGGCAGTGAGGATAAAGTTGATCGAGTTAAACTCATTACGTGAGCTCCAATAAACAAACTGGACGCGAAGCACCCAGATTAACTAAAAAGTTGTCTCAATTACTTCGAGGGTTATAATTTTTTCTTCGGGGCTATTTTTTATTTTATTTCATATTTTTAAAAATTTCTGATAACATCTTAACTTGCCGTGTTTTCAAGCGACCCCCTCCCCTTCCATCACCTTTCCCCGGGTCATTCCATTTGAATGCTCCTAAAGTGTTTATATCTTTAAAAAATATATATTTTAAAACCAACTTAGCGAGGAGGATGGACCCTACCTGCGGGAAAGTGGGGACTGCGTCCTTGGTCGCCGGCGGCGGAACCGGCGTGAGTGCGAAGGCGCCCAAACATCTGTGGAGGCAGCAGAACCAGGCAGCGATCTCTCCGCTCCACCACGCGCTGGTAGTGCGCAAGAACGACCGAGTGAGACAAAGAGGCTTTTCGGACACCGAGAGATACCTCAACCCGAGGAACATGGACCGGACTTACGCAGTGGACACGGGGCACCGACCCGGGCTGAAGAAATCCAGGATGTCGTGGCCGTCGTCGTTTCAAGGTCTTCGACGGTAAGGGCAAAAGGGAAACTGCTTTTCTTCATCTTGTGCCTCTTTCTAATTCCCCTCGATGAAGATGGGCGTTGTGTGCTTGACTGACGCGTGATAGCGGATAAGTGTTTTTGGCTCGTATTTACTTCGAACTTTCAGGACGTTATACTACATTTTATTTTTTATTTTTTTTATGGGCTCAGCCCATGTTCGACCTCTGTTTTACATCACTTTTTGTGTCACACTGTCGGAAGCATTCACTATGTACACTATTGTAGTGGCAAAGAAAGGATGGATAAAGTATATGGTTGCTCCGTCGATAGCGAAAAGGACAAAAAAAAAATAAAAATAAAGAAACAGACACAGTTATCGTCCTAAGAGCATTGCGGTCAGGGCTCTTTTCACACTTAGACCCACTATCCCACAACTTCTGTTTAATATATTTATAATTACTGTATGCAGTTTAATTTAGGTCAGAAAGATGTGTCAGCCTGAAAAGGCACATTTCCTGATAAAGAAAAAAAAGTAAAAAAGGTTTAAGTGAGTGGTAGCTATATGCACAATTATCACAGGCTTTTATGTTTATGTTTTTATCTGTTAGTTAGGGTATATCTGGCACTCTAGTCAGACAGAGATGCACTTAGTGTAGAATGAAAAAAGAGGCTGATGGGAATGAAAGGTAGGCGTTGACCAGAGGTAGGGTCACAGGAAATATTCATAGGTGCATTGCCCTGGAAACATCCAGTGTTCTTTAGTGATCTTCAGAGATTCATACCACTTAGCTTTAGGATCACTGGATAGCCCCAGTGTTCATGTTTGTAAGTGAAAGGACTCTCTGGTCTCTGTGAGGGAAAGTGATACAGTAGGAGGGCTTTCATCATCACTAATACATGGTGACCACATTCCCTGAAATGACACTCACAATAATCTGACTCACTACACATGACAACAGGGATAGTCTTTGTGCATGTATGACAAATCCTGGGTCTTAAGGCGTTGCTTGCACCGTAAGTATTTAACCAGAGCAGCTACTGTGAAATGATGGCAGTAATATTTGCAGGAACAACAGTTTCAGTGAAGCCATTCTGCGTACAGACAGGCACAAAAGCAGCTCAGCACTCAGACAGCCCGGGTGTGTGGGGAAATGTTTCTGCTCTAATTACTCACTTGTTCTGGGAAGGAGGGAGAAAAAAAAAAAGACCAACAGAAATGAAATCTGAGAAGGTCACCTCAGCTCCTTGGCTTAAGTGACTGTTGCAGATGTAAGTTTCTTTGAAACAGCTCGTTATTTCCTTTCTTTCTTTTTTATAAAAAAAAAATTGGTTTAGATATGAGTGATACTTGCCTGCAGGTCCAGTCACTAGTAAACTATAGAAAGCACCCTGGCTTGTCAGGCTGATAGACAGAATGGTCCCTGTCACAGTGGCAGAACAGTCACATGGAGGAGAGGCCAGAGAGAGGGAGAGAGGGGAGGGAGGGAAAGAGGGAGTGATGAGAGCACAGATGGAAGTGACATTGCAAAGTGGTGTGCTGGACTAAGACACCCATGCAATGTTAAAATGTTGCATTAAACTTATAATTCAGAGAAATTTAACAGAAGGTGTTCATGCAATGTGACTGCATTGAAAATCATTCAAGCACATTTCACATCTGCTTCAGGAGGGTAATTACACGTAGATTAACCCAAACAAATCAGATTTTAGACAGGAGGCTAATTACATAAGAGGCACTCCAGCACATATACAGGAAAACCAGGCTAAATCAAATTTTGCCCTTGTACACCACAGCCCAGCACACCATAATTTGCAGTTGGCCAATAGGGTCATTTTATTGGTTGTGTTTTTTATTTGCATTGGGATGCATGTCTTCTGCCACTATGACTTGCAAGGGCCTTCGTCTGGTGTGGATGTCATTAAATGAACACATCTTGTATTCGAGATAGGAATCATAATATACAATCCTATCATGGCTCATTGTTCACAATGACAATGCAAGTGATTATGGGAAGCACAACATATTGCAGGACAATCAGAACAACAGCTGTTTTGTGAAAGCAGAACAGCTGTAGTTAAAGTCAGTTCTTTTTATTATATGTAAATAACAATGAACTAAAACCTAAAAATAGCACATTATTACAAAAAAGAGACAAATATTGAAACATTTTAATCAATTTTTTCATGAAAACAACATTGCTTGGCATATCTCCCAATTGATTTTATTGTTCAAACACCAAAAAGTTCGCCCTCCTGGCATTTATCGGGGTGCTTTAAAAGCCTTTCGACACTCGACAGCCATTGAGAACATGCAGCTAAGATATGGGAAGACAGCTAACTGCTTCTCTCGACTTGAAATCTTTCAAGCAGGTATACAGTAGTCTGGCTTTTTTCAGATACTCTTTAGCCTACACAGAGACAGTGTATGATACATGTGTTGTTTACATATAGATCAGGTGCTATTTGCTTTTCCAATTAACAAGACAGCAGCAGGTCACATATCATCACATGAAAGAGACACATTTTCTGATTATAAAAGACAGTTATGAACAACTTCTGAGGCAGTGTAGAAAACTAATAAGAAGAGCCAGCAGCTTGCTCAACACATACAGTTGATATCAATGTTACGTATTGAGAGAGACAGCAAATCTTTCCCTCAGAGGACTGTGGATGTTGATGTGTTTGCCTGAGTGGCTGGTTTGGCGCAAGGTCCAGCAGCCCCAGGGTAAAACACATCACCCAAATGTGTCACAATCTAGGCTGAGCCTGGATGCTGCTCAGGGCCTCTGTGAGACCTCAGAAAGAATCTGGAGCATCCTTTGATGAAAAGATGGCATTTCTCCCATTTCTCCCCTACTGCTTTCCTGTCCCTGCCATTGGGGGGATTTCTTTATTTGTGAAGATGTCAGTGAAGAGGAGGATTATGATTTCTCTTCTCTCTGTCAAATCGCAATCAAGATTAGGCGATTCAGTGGGTGGAAAAGAGAATGTCAAAACAAAAAAGGATGAAACATCTAAGGAGGGAAGCAAGAAGTGATGGAAGGTGCTCCATCTGGACATTTTTTCCCCTCAGCAGCAGATTGGAAAATGTACCCCTGGCCTCTCGCTCTACGCTGTATTTAACGGTCGTTGATTTTCCTCCAGCCAGTCCTCCTCCTCCTACTGTGACTGTCGGTGCCAGAGAGTGAGATTTTTAGTCAGTATAAAGCGTAACCCCCTGGCTATGTCATTAGATCCCAAGGGTGTTGGTGAGCGAGGCAGGAACTGCTATTGGGTACGTGGCTATATATAACCCCAGTCACAGCCATAATCATGCTGCATAGGCTGCTACAGAACTGGCCCAATACACATCTACTGTATGGCTGTACTCCCAGGCATGTGAAAGATGTCCAGAACGTGCTAATGAACACATTGCGGACATGGTACTAAACTTTCCATTAGCAGAGATCAGCATCAAACATCATGTAGCTCGGGTAATGAAATGGTTCATGACTATGAGTGATAATTTTTGACTCTGAGATTTTCTTCTGTGTTTAGTGTCACAGTATGAAAGGTGGACAGAGCTAACAATTATGTGAATGTCAGCCCCTTGTCTGGGTCTTATTGACCTGTTCATTCAAGCAGAAATGGAAGGTGTATTGAGTATGTTCTTCAGACGGGTTCTGTGACTTACCCAGGCTTTGAAAGATGAGCATGTGCATTAGGATGTAACTGATGCAGACCCATTGAGGTGGGAAGTCAATTTTAGTCTGTCAGACAAAGTAAAGCAAAAAGCTATTCAGGTGAAAGCCAAAAGCTTACTGATAGGTTATAAAAGTATCATGACAGTTGTATAGTAATAAATAGTGAGGGGATAAGACGTCTTCTATTTAATCCAGGAACTTTAGTTTCTTAAAATACAGCTATTGTGTGACACTGGTCATACATTGTATGCATAAAAGTTGCTGGAATATGTTATATATATATTATATTCCATTTAGTAAGTGTATGGAATATAATCAAAAGCATTAATGGGAAACCATAAAAATCCATGCCACTTGACAGCTGCTCAGAATCCATTAGCAAGCCTATAGTGTTAACAATCAGTCCGCCTGTCAGCCTTGTCTGTAATACAATTTTGAAGTGACATTTTTTAACTGTAATTCATTTGAAAGGTTACCTTACCTTCGTCTAAAACACCAGGGTATACTCAGGAACATTTACCATGACACAGGTCTTTATTGTTTAGTGTTGAATGACTACATTACAGATTTTACATTACCTGGTTAAATGAGGGTTTTGGACCATGAAAAGTTTCCGGTATAGCTTTAGCATGTTATCCTAATTCCAAAGGACATCTTGGAGAAATGTATAAGGGCAGTAAAGCCTCAGAAGGGATTGCCCTTACCCTAACGAATCCTCTAAATTCTAATATTAATGCCATTGCCCATTTGGAAACCTATAAACGAATGTGTGCTTTTTCTTTTGTCTTTTTTTTATCTAACTTTTTATCAAGGTGGGGACCTGAGGTGTAACATAAAAGTCTAGTGCCAATCTTTTTTTTTATTCGGCTTAAATATGTTGGTAAATGGTGTGATGATGGAGTGTAGTCTATGTTGACACTGTGCATGCAGTACAACGTGAACTGTATGGTAGAGCCCTGCACGTTTTGCGAGTTGGCACACTTCGATACTATTAATGCGTTGACGGTTTAGCTATCTTTTTGATCGATTCCCATCAGTTTTAGTGTCACAACAAAGAAAGAGGTAGCAGAAATAGCTTTCTTTGTTTTTAGAGCAGACAATTCTCTGATCATTACATATTCCAGT